GTCATCTCTACTAGTGATTATAATTAATTATAATGATATAATTATGTGCAATTGTGCTGGTTTACTTTTATTTTTAGATTTCCCCCTCATATGTGCATATAATGTATGAGCCCTTCTCCCATCCATGCTGGAATGCGACTGATTTGATCTTGTATAGGTCTTGTGCAGGGAACCATTGCTACTGTGAGTTCACCAGTGCAGCGGCCCCATCATGTCCTGAAGTTAGTGTTCTGCAGCACTCCTCCATAGTCTCCTTCTCTCAAAGTATTTCTGCTCCCTCTTTCTCCATGTTTTCTGAACCTTGGGAGGGTTCTGGTAGAAACGTCCCATTTCGAGCTGAATACACGATAGTCACTTATTCTCACCACTTTGATCAGTGATCACTGATGCTGTTCATCGAAAAAGAAGCTTCTCTGACTAAAGTTGAGAGCAGTGCTAATTTAAAGGTATAAACATAAACATTTGGGAGACAATTTGACAGCATTCACCACATAGCAAAGCAGCAGCAGCAGGTTCCCCTCATGGCCTATGATTGTCTTTTGACCTGGTCTATAGCATGAAGCAAAAATTCTTCCTGTGTCACAGGCCTCAGATTATTCAGAAAGCAGCTGGTTACCCATACTAGTTAAGTCACTGTTACACCAGTTGGCATATATTGCCGGACAGGTTGCTATTTTAGCGTGAACGGTTCAGTGCTGGTGAGACCGTTGATGCCCATTTTCTCCCAAGTAGTCTGCAGGCCATCTTCTGACATAAAAAATTCAGGTCAATTCCAGCTTGACTTCATCTACTATACCTAGCTTCCAAAGTGTATTTTTAGCAATGGGGTCTTAGAATCTAACTATGGTGGGAAATCAAGAGTAATAGTGAAAGCTTGTGTTGCTTTGGGGGTCTCTGGGACCTCCCTGATCAACAATTGTAGGGAATTATCCCAACCCTAGCACTGAGGTTTTCATTTAATAACCTATTAATTAAATGTACGTGGCTCCATGGGTGAAGGCACTTGCTGCCAAGCCTGAGGACCTGAGTTTGATCCCCAAGACCTACATTACAGACGGGGAGCACTGGCTCTTATAAATGGTCTCCACACATTTGTGGTACAGGGATGCACACATGCAAACAAATGTAATAAACTCGGCAGGCAGGGAAGTGAGGGGGAAGAATGAACCTCGGGGGCCTAGGATGTGGCTTGGAGTCACTAGAGTGCTTGTGTAGCACACAGGAATCCTTAGGTTCCATTCCCAGACCATGCACACCTGTAATCTCAGCTCTTGTAAGGTGGAGGCCTTGGAATTAATAGAAAGTGTAGTGAAATGAAGATGTGCTATGGCTTATAAGACAAGAGTGGCATGGAGCTTTAAACACCGGGTAACTTTTGTACTTAGACAATTATTATTCTAAAATTATCGTGAGTTTCAGAGACTCCAATGGAAACGAAAACAAGTGTTCAATAAAATATGGCTGTCTGAGGCTGTTTCCTTGACATAGGACCTAATTTCCTCTGCATATTAGTCAGCAATATATGCTTAACGAATGAGTCTAAGAATGCTTCCCTGGGAATATAAAAGCTACAAGATCTGTATGCACATGATCACACCCAAGGTATGTAAGAAATTTAGTGAGACTGGCTGCCAAGACACAACACAGAACTGGTCTGTTTTTGGTGATACGGGATTAAAATTATATAAAATATACAAACAGCATTCCAGACCTTACGTGGTTTAGTCCTTCAGACATTTCAAACGTTGCAAGCATTTTGCCTGCTCTTCGGTGCTCTCCTCCCTGAATATGTGCTGGTATACATCAAGTCTGCACAGCCGTTACTTGTGTGAGATTTTAAGTTTCACAGTGACTAATGCATTTCCATAAATCTCATTTTGAAACCTATTTTGAAGAGCCAGCTTCGGTAGAAGCTCAGACAAGATCCATTTGTACAGAAGCAGTGTTTGTTTAATGCCTTCTGATAAAAATGCCTTGCCTATATGTTTATGTTTGGCATACCAATTAAAGGAGGAGGGGGGAAGACAGAATTTGAGAGACTATGAAGGCAAATATTGTGTAGGACACAGGGTTTTTAATTTAGTAAGCATCTTGTATGTATGTATGTGAGTGTGTGTGTGTGTGTGTGTGTGTGTGTGTGTGTGTGTGTGTGTGTATGCGGTTAACCTCAAATGGCAAGTGGCTTCCTCAGTTGCTCTCTTCTTTGGAGGTTGTCAACTTGGTCAGTGAGCCCCGGGGATCACCCCTCTCTGCTTCCCCAGTGCTGGTATTACAGTGCACCCCATCACTCTCGGCTTTTTAAAAGTAGGCTCTAGGGATTGAACTCAAGTTGTCATGCTTGCAGGACAAGCACATTACTTACTGAGCCATCTGCCTAACCCTGGTATTTTATAAAAAATGTAGAGATGTATTGTCTTTGTAGCTAAAGCAGTGTTTAATTATCCAATTAATGAAACTCCTAATTTTTTTGCAAAACATTAGAAATTACTTACTACCTATTACTTTGGCTTAAAGTGTGATATTTTCCTCAACCAAAACATGGCTAATCAACTGGACATTTTACATTTGTTTTCTGTATCCTTGACTGTCCTAGAACTTGATTTGTAAACCAGAGTGGCCTCGAACTCACAGAGATCTGCCTGCCTCTGCCTCCCGAGTGCTGGGATTAAAGGCGTGCGCCACCACCGCCCGGCAATTTTCACAGTTTTGAGTTCACCTAAGTTCTAACAATTCTCTACTTCCTGTACATAACACTGGACCAAATATGTAAAGTAAATATGGTCAAAGCTACAAGAAGAAAATTGAAGTATCCCATAGCTTTAACTATTTATCTTTCAGCTATAGGTTGAGTAGATAGAAAAATCAGTAATATATAGAATTGAGTCAAATAAAAGTTCCCCAAACAAAGAATATTGCATCAAATCATGCTGATGTATATATTCTTTTTAAGAGGATGTGAACGGTTTTCTTAAATTTGATCATAGTATTTGTCAAAAAATTCCCCAGCAAATTTAAAATTATTTCAGTAAGTCATAACAAATTCCCTGACCATAATTCAGTGATATTAGGAATACATTTAGAATTTTGAAAATCTATGTCTTGAGCCTTCTGCTTCTCTATATGGTAGATGATGGAACCCTAAGACACTACCTACAACAATTAAGGAAATATGAGGACATTTCAGAAGTCACATACTAAGATATGTGAGAGCTATGAGAGGGATATGGACCAGCTCTATAGGCATTCCATGGAGGGAGCCTTTCTGATGTAAGCAGCCATTTTCTTCTCTGGGTGCACTTACTGATTCTGGACATGGGTTAGAAAGGATCAGGTTAGGTCCAGGCAGATAGTTTCTTCTGTGGAAATGAGAAGTCCAACATGGCTATTGGTGGTCATGTGGGGCTGATTCAATAGATCAGAAAATTGGAAATCTTAGCCCGTTTCTTCTATCCTTTGTAAATTGTATTCCACAGGGGACATACATTAGATATGAGATTGTAATTAGAGATTTACTGGTGACTCTTCACAAGGACTTACTGCTTTATTCTCTTCTAGAAATGTGTAGTGTTAGTTTTTACATTTAGGCCTACAATTGAAGGATATTGTTGTTCTAGCACCAAGGAAGCTGATTCAACTGGAAGAATAAGACCTGGACAAGAGGTGATTGATTCATGACTCTGCTAAGTACTCTTCATGGAACTTTGTAGTGAGAGATCTATCAGACACACCTGCAGCGCTGACCATGACCGTTTGGATGTGGTCACAGGTGCATATGTGAGCATGTGGGATTTGGTCTGGGGTCAGGAACAGGCTTGCTCTCTGTTGGTTCCAGTCGGGTCGTGGAGGGCAGTTGAACTTGGATTCTCAAGAGTGTTGATCATGTAAGTGATTCTCCCCGATAAAATTAACCTATCTCACCTCAGTCCTGCGTATCTTAATTTGTACAACCACCTTGCCCTGAGAGACAGCCAAATAGCTCATTGCATGCAGAGGGAATCCTGGTTGAGGTGGCAACAGGGGTAGGGTATCAAAGGATGGTTTATACAGTGAAAGGAGATTGGAAGTCAGTATCCCAAACAGGTCACAGCAGGGGCTCCAAGTCTTTCTTTACTGTTTGCCATGCAGTATGCACACTCATGAAAATGGGGGAGGGGAAGGTTTTCACTAAACTGGTCTCAGAAACACCCATGACAGACTGGCATCGGCTCTACAAGAGAGCTTCTTCGAATTGCTCGATTACTTCAGTGTGAAGAATGGAAGGGAGAGTGTTCCAGAGCCTGCAACATTAAACCAAGTCTTCCTTTGAAATGAAATCAACACCTTCCCTGTGGTGTTCGCTCTCTTTCCTTCTTTTTCCTCATTCTTTGGCATGCTGACCCCACCCCTATTTTTCTATTTTTCCTTTTAGTAATGACAAAATAGAATGTACAGTACTCAGCCACCCAAAGAGTAGTGACCGTTCTTGATGAGCCTCTAGCCACTCAGTCCCCACACCCTGCTGTGTCTTGAAGTCAATGTATTCTTCTGAAAAGAATTAACTCCCTGATGGGTGGACCACATTTTCTAGCAGGTGGCTCTGCTTACATTTCTGAATGCCTATGACTAACCCTTCCCTTACTTTTGGGGCAGAGTATAAACACAGCTCTCCTTTTGTGTCTCCTGGGGAAGTGACCTTTCTTTGAGCACTATGACTTTTTTAATGATCATTTTCCATGGACACAACACTTCCTCTCTTACAAAAAATGACTTGTGTTCAGTCTAGACCTTGAGATCCACAAAGGTGGAATTCTAGGCAGAATTTTCCACAAGGCTTGGTTAATAGTTAGCAATTAACAGTAAAAGAAATATTTGGGAAGGAATTCAGAAAAGGGTTGTAGGAAAGAGAGCTTCCAGGGCCTTCAGGAACAAAACTGTCATCCACTGTATTATGCTTTAGCATCTCCCCAAAACACACAAAGGAAAGCAAATGACAAACAAAAATAACCACGGTGACAAGGCTGTCCATTTTGGAACCCATTTATATTGTATTTCTTCATTCAGCCCACACGCTCCAGAGAGTGCATCAGACCTTCTGAACACTCATAGCTTCCTTTGGCCAACTGTAGGTGTCTAGTGTGAAGGAGTCATAGTCTGGAGTGTAGATCAGAGATCTTACAAAAGCCTCCTTGTCCTTGGGTTCTGGATAGTAAGAGGCCAGGTTGTGTTTATACGCATAGTCGAGGACCTAGGAAAAATAGATTTGGATGAGAAACTAGATCTATGGGAACATCTACCTTAAAAGCTGCTTACTTGGTGGCCAGGGGCAAAGGAACATCCCCTAAAGGACCAGTCATGTTCTTCTTCAGTTGTCACCCATGACACCACTGGAAGGGGAGAATTAAAACTTTCCTTCTAGATAGTACTTGGTTCTTTTCCCAAGGGTCTAGTAGTTCCGCTCTCTCAGAACTCTCAAGATGGATTTGTACCCAGTGCCTGGAACAAGGTCAAAGAGGCCCAGCCTATTATGCCTGCTTCTAATGCCCCATGGGTTTCCAGCCAATGATAAACTTGATGAGTATTTCAGCTTACAACGTGGTAAGCAAAGTAGCGATAACCTTCTTCTAGGGTGACGTGAATATTATTAGTGACATTGTGTAACCCATTCTTATGTAGGTTGATGTGGTTGAATTGGATGACCATCTTGTGAACAAAATAGCCCCCAGTGAAGGAAGTGGACTGGGTGAGATGGACTGGAACATGGACTGTTGAACTTCATAGTTGATTCTTAATGGTGCCCGCTCTGTACAATTTACAGGGGCTATGTATTGCTGTGCAGTGCAGTTTCTGAAATTATTTGTTATTCTTACAGAAAAATACACTAATGGAAAGGATATCATGTACCTATTATCCGACTTGCATAATTATTGTTTGAAATTTGTCTTTATTGTGTTATGTTTTCTTTGAAAACCCATTATCTTTGCATAATCTCATAATCTACAATGGTTTGCAAACCTGATCACCTCATCACCCCTTAAAGAAAGGAAGGGGAAATAAGTATCTACTTTGGTCAGCAGGAGTTTTTAACTTCCAGAGTTTTGGGAGGGAGGAACTACTGGCCTCTACAGAAAAGCAGCTAAGGTTGAGGCAAGTAAAGCTGTCGGGCCACCATGACTCTTTTGCTGATTGCCTGAGTGGGGACTCCAAAGCCTGAATCCTTTCTGTGACACTGTGCAAGCTGACCTTTCCCATAAATGAGTGGCTATGATTCATTAAAAAAATTCCACCCACATTCTGGTTCCCAAGACCATGGCCTCTGATGACCTTCATTCCTCATGTTTGTGGGGGAAATGTGGGAGCTTTCCTAGAACTGGCCTGGGTGGGTGTTTGGGGTGGAACTCAGGCTGCTGAACAGGCAAGAATTTGTCACCCAGTCTGTGGATTGCATGTAGCAAGGCTCAAGGAGCTCAGGTTTCCATGGTTGCCTAGCCCCCCTGATGTCACAGGAATAGGTGGAGCCTTACAACAAGGGGTACAAGGAGGATGCCCCTTACTTTGACTGCGATTCTCAGAGACACGTCTCGAATGGTGCTGAGTGGTGGGTACAGTCTCTCCTGGAACAGGTGCTGTTCAGAGACTTCTTGGGCAATATTCTAGAAAAACAGAGAGAGACAGAGATATAGAGTGAGACACACACACACACACACACACACACACACACAGAGAGAGAGAGAGAGAGAGAGAGAGAGAGATTGATTCTTTACAGAACAAATCCATCCCATTATCCCAAAATGTGCCAAGTAGTGCAACCTGTGCCACACATAGCCCCAAGGAAGCCTAATGCTTAGGCTTCAACAAAGACTCATTCTTTCTGTACTAAGCCTGACTGAAGTTGAAACAGCACAAGATTTCATGAATTCTAGAAGAGCATGTCTAAGCCCAAGATGAATAAACTTGTGACCTGAAGACAAAGACTCAGTCCTCTGGTTGGTCACAACCTATTACACAGGAGTCTCTGGTCCCTTACTTCTTGGGTCCTAGTCTCCTCCCACATCCTTGGTATCATTCTGGGTGGCCACCTAAGCAAAAACATTTCCCTGTTTATGGTTCCATAAGCTTTCCTTTTTAGCCTTGTTTCTGGTCTGATGCCAGGGTCAGGGGTGAGTGGGTAGGAGACAAGATAGGGTGAATTCGGGGGTCACTGGGTTTAAGGACCTGGTGTTGAGTCACCAACCCTATTAGAAGCATCCTAGAGAGGAAAGCATCAGTACCTCTGCGGTCAGGAGGAAGATCTCATCTGGGATGTGTCGGATCCCACCAGCGATGACACCCAGTGCTACCCCAGGAAACACATATGCATTGTTTCCCTGACCAGGAATGAATGTTCTGCCATCTTCCAGAGTCACACTCTCAAAAGGACTTCCACTGGCAAAGATCGCTCGGCCCTGGAAGTAGGAAAAAAGCAGAGTTGGAACTTGGGGACAGGTTTGAGGTAGTCATGGTAGTCTATTCTTATCTCTTAAATGTTGGGCCCATCTCCACCCTCTCCTAAGCATCCAGAATAGTAAGAACTTGGTAAATACTCCAAGAACAGTTTATTTATTTGACCACAAGCCTTGTCTCCCTTCAAGTTATTGACAGGGGAGACCCTGATGCCTCTTTCCCCAACATCTGGGAGGGCCAAAACAAGATAGTTGCCTAAGGCATATAGAAGCCATGGGATTTGGACAAAGCTCTGTTGTTCTGGGCAACCTTGAGTAGTCCAGTATCATGGGAAGCGTTTTGGTTTGAAGTTAGATCTATGTTTGAGGGCTAACTCTATTCTTCATCAGCTTGATGACCGTGGGAAAGTTAATTCATCTTTCTAAACCACAACTTGCTTACAGTGACGGGGCACTCTTTGTCACCCTTATCGGGTTGCTGGTAATAACTGCTACTACTTTCTCTCAGCTGGTGGGAGGAAGGACTCCCCGCTGACCTCAGTGACCCGGTAGCACTTCTCAGCTGTGCATTCAGCCTTGCTGGTGGGGTTGCTCAGGGCAAAGATGATTGGGCGCTCATGGAAGGAGGCCATGTCCCTCAGAATCTGCTCCGTGAAGGCTCCTGCGATGGCAGCAACACCTATGGGGAAAAGGGGGGCAGGTAGTAGGGAATGCCTACTCTGTATAAACATCCTATTTCTCTTTTTGTGGCACTGGTGAGGGAACTAGGTACCCCATGACTGACTCGGGAATCTTGAGGATAGAATCTGCTAAAAGGGCTGAGGGTGCAGAAGGGAAAAGAATCCTGTTGCTTGAGCTAGCTAAGACCTCTTGTGCACTCCAGGGAGACCACTGGTCCATTTCCAGTCTCTGGTCTTTAAGGTGCTCGTTGAAGGCATTCCTTCCTGAATGTTGTTGTTGAGAGCACGGTGTTCCTCTAGCACAGGGACAGGTGCCAAGGCCCCAGTCTTGGTGTGGAAGGAGTGCTCATCTCCATACTAAAGCACAACATGGTTCTTGCCCGCTGTATATAAATCATTCTGTGTCACCAAGCCCCAACTCCGGTCCTTCATTTCTATGGTTTCTACACAGAAGTCACTCAATAAAAGTTTGTGGCATTGAACTAGGCATGGAAGAGGAGAAACAGCTGTGCTTCCATAGGTTGTTTATGGCTCTTCACCGAGTCTCAGACTATTCATCTGCAAGTCAAGAGAGTTAACTGGGCTGGGTGGTAGGGCCCCTCCTTCTTCCTACCTATAATTGCTGTAGGCTTCACCAGTCTCACCACCTCCTCCAGGGAGTTGACTTCAGGATGGTCTTGGGCAAACATCTCCTTCTCATGGTTCAGGTGGCTCCTACCCTGCAGGAAAAGAGGGAAGATGGAGTAGCTGTGGAGTAGCTGCAGTGTGACTATGGTGTTGAGGGCCTATTGAGCAGGGCCTTGACACATTAGGATTCTGATGGTGTTTGCGATTGAGCTTTATGTTTTGGTCTCAGTCTTCTGAATAGAGAGGCCCAGACTTGATCAGATTTTCTAGTAGAGCCCACGTGGACCCTAAGGGAATTTATAAATGCTTCTTTTTTAAATATGTTTTTATTTTAATTGTGTGGGTGTTTTGCATTTGTGCTCCATGTATATGTAGTGTCTGTGGAGGCTAGAGGGCACCTGGTCATTTGTAGCTGAAGTTACAAATAGTTGTTAGCCACCATACAATCCAATCAGATCTAATCTGAGTCCCTGAAAGAGCAAACAAGTGTTCTTAACCTCTAAGTTATCTGCTGAGCCACACAGAAGAATCAACAAATCATCTTTTGTTTTTATTTTATTTTTAGCTGTTGGGGGTCATGGGTTACTGGGCCAGGACAGAAAAACTCCCAGGAAATTCCTTTAGCCTCACTGAATCCGCTGGTCACAAAAAGTCTACAAGTTTGCAGAAGGACAGTCCTTGAGACTTTCATTGCTAGAGAGGGACCGTGAATGGATTCAATAGGATCCACTTGTCTTCCTATGAGTCTCACTAAGCTGAATCTACGGTAGACTGGTCATGCCAACTGCACCTGGCAAACTCCAGATTTCTTTCCATCTCTTCAAACAGAAGCCCAGGGGTGACAGGGGCACAAGTGCAGTCACTTCTGATGGCTCCAGCTGACCTCAGAGTGCTGGAGGGATGATGTCAAACCTACAGCTCCTTGGTTAGCAGTCAGTTCAACAGGGTGAACAAAATGATGTTGGAAAATGCACAAGTGAACAGAGTCAGCAGTGTCTGGTAACCTGCTCAGAGGCCAATCTCTGGAATGACAGAATAGGAAGATGCATCGCCAGGCCCAAGTCCCTTTCAGCAGGGGTCTGGCTGTGCAAAGTTGTGGAAGAGTGACCTTGTGTCTTTGGAGGATTGTGATCCAATATGGCTGAGATAAACTCAAGGCAGGAAGTGGTAGGAGAAAAGGCTGGAAGGGGTATTCAGGTCCACATACATGTACACATATACCCACACACATCCACCCACACAAAACACAAACACATGATCAGATCTTTTGGAAAACAGCAATTAAAGAATTTGCTTTGGAATTTAATTTTCCTTTTGCTTTATATTCTGCCCTCTGGAGAACCTTTCCTTCGTTCCTTCCTCCCTCCCTCCTTCCCTCCCTCCCTCCCTTCTTCCCTTCCTCTCTCTTCTTTCTTCCTTCTCTCTCTCTCTCTCTCTCTCTCTCTCTCTCTCTCTCTCTCTCTCTCTCTCTCTCTCTCTCTCGTTCTCTCCCTCCCTCCCTCCCTCCCCCTCTCTCTCTCTCTTTCCTTCCTCCTCCTCTTCTTTGACAGGGTAACTCTGTGTAGCCCTGACTGTCCTGGAACTTGCTCAATAGAGGCCAAGCTGGCCCCAAACTCAGAAATCCACCTATCTCTGCCTTCCCAGGGCTGGGATTAAAAGCATGCAGCACCATGCATGGCCAGAGACCTCTTTCAGTTTAGTTCTTGGCAGCTCTAGGAAACTTCTAGTTTTTCAGACCTGAACAGTACCTTGACAATTAGCCCCCTGGAGTCCACCATCCAGATCTTCCTTGTGGCTTCTGCCTTGGGTACTCCTTCCTTTTCCAGGGCCATAACGAGGAGGTGGGCGATGCCCATGGCTGCCTGGGGGGTAGCATGAGGACAATGTTTAAAATCAAAGCACACCAGATGTTTTACCAAGATGAGTCCTTCTTCTTTTCCTCAGTCCCACAAATCCTGGGAAGCCCAGTTAAATCCTTACTTTGAGAAACTCAAATGTTGAGATTCAAAAAGCTGCAATGATCAGAACACACTCATGCTGCTTCCTCTTGTCAGAACCCCAGTCCACCTCTCGCCATGAATGCTACTCCACCCATTCTTACTCTTCTCAGGACAACCATCATAGAGTCCTTCTAATGGTACTCACCTCACCCGCACCCTGGAAAACAAACACATGATTGGAGAGCTTGTTCTTGGTGATTCTCAGAGCAGCCAGGATCCCTGCCACAGCTACAGAGGCTGTGCCTGCAACAGAGTGGACCATATCAACCTGTGGCCTCTAGCCCTTAATCCCCAAGCAAAGACTTGGCAGAGGTCCCAACATTTAGGACCTGTGGGAGGAGAGGCAACTTTTCTTAACTATTAAAAAAATACTATCTCTGCCAGGTGGGGGTGGCACACACCTTTAATCTCAGCACTCAGGAGGCAGATTTCTTAGTTTGAGCCAGCCTGAGTTCCAGGACAACCAGGGATACACAGAGAAACCCTGTTTCAAACCAAACCCAAACCCAAACCAAACCAAACAAACAAACAAAAAACCACACCCCCAAACAAACAAACAACCCCCAAAACAAAAGAAAATAAAATGAAAACAAAACAAAATAAAAAACTAAAGAAATCATATCTGTAGGCACAAGGGATTCAGGGCAAATTGATACCATTTACTCCCTTCTACTGTAATTAACTGTTGGAGAAACAGTCCCTAGAATTGTTACTTGTCCATGGGAAACAACCAGTTATTATGTTGTGGGTATTTGATCACACTGTGAAACAAGAGTTTTTGTTTGTGTTAAGTAAAATCAACCTTGGGTCAGGAGGTGGCGCCAGCAATTAGTTGACAGAAAGTAATCATAGAGAGTCAGAGGGAGTCTGGAAGACAGACAGAGAGACACACAGAAAGTAGTAGGGAGGACTTTGAGTGTGGTGGTCTTTTTGGTTTGGCTGAGCAGAAGGATGCTCTCATTCTGAGATGCTGGCAAAGAGAGATTACCTAGTTGCTCGTCAACCTCTCTGAGCTAGCAGGTTTTCACCCCAGCCTCTGATTCCCAAGTCTTTATTGGTAAATAGAACAATAGAAATTTAGTTAAAAACTGCATTTGGTGGCAGCTCCAGAAGGTGGAGCCGGTGGGTAAAGTCCCACCAGGCTGTCATTGGAAAAGGAGACCAGTAACTGGCTAAAACAATAGTAGATTCATGTGCAGCTGCTATGCTGGTAGAAAAAAAACAACACTATTATTAACAAATGAAGCCCCAGGATAGATGTGGATGAAATTCTGAGGGAATATGAATTGCTGATGTGGGTCAAGGGCCTCAATACCTTAGATCCATGGGAATGGGCAAAGCATTTCCCTGGTCCATATGGGACTATTGAGAGTATACAGAAAGCACCTACTGAAGTCTCCTGTTCCCAGATGTCTACATGGAACTCCTTCCTATGGAGACTCCTCCAGAGACTAGCTAACCCCTCCTCCTGTGCTGTACACAATAAGCAGGCAGAGTCCTGGTGTAGTCCTAGTGCCATCCATCAGAGTTAACATGGTCCACCCGATCCCAGCTTCTCTGTGTCTGTCATTTCTTCATTCCTATTGCCATCCCAGTCAGGTTTCCTGGACCAAGTCACACAGGACTTGACACCCCTAGAATTTAAGGAATAAAGACACTTAAAAGTAAGACATGATGGGGTCATGAGACACCAAGTGATTGTGTGTCATGAGCTGCCCATCTTACCACATTGTAAGAGTGTACATGGCAACAATATGTAATCTGTGGTCTGATTCAGCACACAGTACATTGTGCCCTTTCTCTCACAGCCAGAACACATGTTCTTCTCACAGTCCCACCAGATAACTCACAGAATTTATGCTTCCTGTGATTTCAACTTTATATCCTGCATAGTTAGAGGCCTTAACTCCCAAGAGAGAAAACTTCCATTAAGAATCACAACAGGCTTCTATTAAATTGGGGGTTGCAATCACCACCTGGACTTTCTCTGCACTAACTCAGTAAGCAAAGAAGACTCTCATTTCTCCGACTATGGGGGTTGATCCTTATAACCAATAGGAAGATAACACCAGAAGGAACATGGTTGGAGCTGGGGTGTGCTCTGTGGGTATTGATACTCCTACACTTGTTAGTAAATATTAATGGGTATGACAACTAAAGATAGGCAGGGCTATTGACGATCCTGGACCTTCAGAAATGCAGACAAAGGCTACCTTACTAGGTGAAGAACCCTGACCAGATAAAGTCCTGCCTGAGGAGAAGAAAACAGGGAATGGTTGAGGAAGAAATGTGTGAACACCAGTGACATTACATGAAAGGAAGAGTATCAGCTCAGGACTCCCAAGACCAAGTTTTTAGCATAAAGGAGATTTATTTGCCCCAGAGGGACAGAGAACAGGAATAAGAGACAGGGAAAGAACTTAGAAGACTATTGAGGAGGGGAAGGGAACAAGGGAAAGGGCGTAGGGAAATTTGTCCAGAAGGGACAAAGGACTGACTCTGGACAGAGAGGAGACAGATGTGGCACATAGGAAAACTGTGGTTTATAAGGTAAAACGAGGTGTTTAATTTTAATTAGGCACATTAATTAGGTGAGTCAAAGGGGGATTTTTGATTGTTGAACTTCAACACTTTGATAGCTGGACCATCTAGTCAGCCTCAGGAGGAAGAAGAGAACAGTAAGGGGATAGACTTTGGTGGGTAGGTTTAGGAATGTAATCTAATGGTGTTTAGCAGCCATGCTTACCACACTGAAGCTGGCCAGAGTCCCTTCATTATGATTGGCTAAAGAAACCAGCAAGCAGCCATGCATATTTCTTTCTTGGTTATATCACGATAATGGAAGATGTTAGCTAATTCCCTCTCTTCTTCCTCCATAAATCATTTTATACATTTTTTTGGAAGTTAATTCTATCCTTCAGTCTTTAACTGAGTTTTCAACTATGACTGAGTTTTAAAAACAAGTTCATTCTTCCAAGAGATGGTTAGTGTAATTCTCTTGCAAACAAACAAACAAACAAACAAACAAAAAACAAAAACAACTTCAAGACTTGTCTAGTCTCTTCTTATTCAGGGAGAAGGCGAGACTGTCCTCACTTGTTGGAGACAGTTCTCTTTTGCTAGAGTTGCTTTTGTCATCTGAAAGCACAAAGGCGTGGAACGATATGCAAGAATGCTGAGTAGGTAAGAGGCTGGACTCCATCAATTAGCACGTACGCTCTGAGCTTACATTGAAGGGCAAACCACCAACTGCCTCTGTGCAGGAGTCTGCCAAAAGGAGGCAGTAGAGAGCAACTGAAAGGCTACAGGAGGAGAAAAGAAGGCCATTTCAGGGTTACCTCAGCCTTCTAGAATCACAGGCAAATTGGAGGTCATTTAATAACGTCTGGATTTTAGATAAAAATGATTTTGCATGGGTTTATCTTACGAAGCACTAGTATAGTTTTAAAAAGAATTATTTATTTGATATCGGGATTCAAAAGATTCAGAGTTTTGCTTTTGCTGCCAGACAACCCCAGACTTGATTCTTCACTTCCGCAGTGGCAGTGGAATCCCTTCTGCAGGTCATCCATCATTTAGCTCACAGCATGCCTATCATCAGCACCAGCCAGCCGCCCTTCTTCTCTTCTGTTCCTCAGCCTCAGGGGGTGGTAGCAGAGTCTTACTGCTTCTTTTTCTGCATTTCAACTCCCTAATATACAATTAGCACTTTCTATATGGAGTGTTCTCTGTCCAGGTCTCTGGTATAGACCCTGACTGATACTGAAGGCCCACGACAAAACTGTAATCGCAGTGTCAATATTAATGAGGTCACAGGAATGGACATTAAAGTGGCACTGTTTATGGTTTGCTCCATTTTCAGTTAGAAAACAAAAACCAAAGCTATCAGTGGCTGCTGGTGGAGCGATGAAATGTGGGAGGTTCCAACATTCTTTTCAATTTAAGGAGCAACTTTTTTGGAATGGTTTCCCCATATGGTTTTCCCAGGGCATAAAATGTTTTTTGTCCTTTGATTTTAATATAATTCTACTTTTGGAAATCAATGTATAGGAGATTCTGAAATATGTGCACTAGAACAGTTAGGACAGTGTTATTTATAATGCATAGTGACTGGAAATAATCTAAACATCTAACAAAGGAAAAATGCTTGAGTAAATAACCTAGGATGGTCATTCAGGGGAATATTTTCAACCATTAAAAATAACCACTACGGGGCTGAGGAGATGTTCAGTCTGGAGAGTGCTTGCGGTGCAGGCATGAGGACCTGAATTTGGGTCCTCAGCACCCCTGTGCACGTGGAGCATGGTGATATGTGTCTTTAACCACAGATTGGAATCAGGAGGATCTCAGAGGCCCACTCCAGCCATGTTATTAAGCATGGCACTGTGTTTCAGAGAATAAAGTGGAACATGTTAGGGGAATGGAACCAATGTCAACCTCTGGCCTCTACACTTGGTGCATGGGAGCACACACATGCATAGACCTCACGGAAACCTTTTTATTAAAATTTTAAATGAAGATTTCATAGCAACACAGGAAATGCTATCAGTCAGTGGCTAACATCAGGTATGCATTTCTAAAGCCATCTGGATTTTCTGTGTGCTCCTTTCATGATGATTCGCTTCGGGTGGGATGGCTTCTCCCACTGAGACATCAGCTCTCTGACATTTGAAATCAGTTTCTGCTCTTTCCAACGCGCTCTGCTTTCAGGGAGGCCGATTGTAAATCGCACACCAGAAGATGGCGCCAAAGATATCTCTTGGTAGATGTTTCCTGGGATGGTTTTTCTCTTTTGGGCTATCAAATATCTTTTGAGGTTAGAACCTGAGAGCTGAATAACATAATTTATCTTCAGAATGTAGATCTGGATGGAGGCTGCTGAATCTGACCTCTGAGAATTGCACGGAGAACACCGACCTCTGAATGGTATAGAAGAGAGAGTGGATTGGACTAGGGTCCAGTAGAAAAGCCAGAAAGCCTCTGTGTGGTCTGCAGCTCACAGCCTTTCCTCCAGAGCTGGAGGCATCAGGAGAGACATTATGGGCTGACTTTGTGGGAGAGAACTATGGGGCGAGTTAAGTAAGGTACAGGCTGATGGATGAGCACTTGGGCAGGAGACATTTGTGTTCAGCTGAATGGGGTCAGGACAAAAACCAGTGGGCAATCTCAAAGAAGAGCTACACACTGTAATCAAACAACATGAAGGCCACCGCCACCAATTTATTACACTGTGGTTGTTGTAT